AAGAAAAGTTCATCTTTTGATGATAAAGAACAATCTCAAAAACCTATAAACAATAGTATCAATTAGAACTCAGACAACACAACAAAATCGGACTGGATTAGATCTGTTCAACTATGGAATCAAACCCTAGATCAACCCATCAAAGAGGTATATATTACAAGAAATTCAAAATAACAACATAATACTTATAATAATCAGAGCTTCAGCTTCTCGCCGGATTGGTTGATTAGGGCTTCAGCTTCTCACCAGAATGGATGATCGGACCTTCACCTTCTTACCGGAATGGATGATGGCAGCTTCAGCTTTTCGTCGGAAGAGATGATAGGAAGTTCAGCTTTTCGCCGAAATGTATAGTGATTTTTTCGAACGAAGCTTCTAAACAAGGACCTTCTCTTCAGAAATCTTTGTGTGTCTAAATAGGGACATTCTCTTCAAAAATCTTTCCCTTTATGTGTCTAATGTATTGGTTGCCTTCTTTCTCGGTTTCCCTTTCCCTTGACTGAACTATTGGATGTTTGAGAAGAGAGTTGTGGAACATTTACAGAGCAGAGGCATATATCTGTATATATATATCAGTATCAGTTTTGGGGGCAAACTTAATTTTCGTTCTAGGGGGAATTTTAACTTGAAATCCAAATACAGGTACTTCGTGTTGTGTAAAGAAATGGTACATAAAGGGAAAGGCTACAGAAAGGGCGTACAGAAAAGGTAGAAGTATGTACAAAAATGGTATAAACAAAACTACAGTGGCTACCCATTTTACCATCTTTGCCACATCAGCCGCGGGGCCCAGAACTGGACCGGTTTCAGTGAGATGCGAATGGAGACGATTTTTTCCCTCCCAATCTCTGCATAAGTACCTCCTTCTCTTCACCATTCCCCTCCACAACCCTCATATCTATCTCTCTCTCTCTCTCTCTCTCATTCTTGCTCTTGAACACACACACACACACAGCTTTATTTGTATATATAGCATACAATGAAGCTCCTCATTAATACTAGTCTGTACAAAATTGCAAAAATAATGATGTTTATCTTATTCATCATTGTGACCACCCCCAAACCTCTTGTAGCAGCTGCAAGGCCTTTGAATGGTGGTGTGAAGACGAAGGCAAATGGCGGAGGATCAATGGATCAAAAGGATCCACCTAAATATCCTACCCCTAATCCTTGCACTTATATTCCTAAATTTGCTGATGAGAATTGCAATATGCATTGATTCATGAGGTGGTGGACTTGGGAACATATTATGAATATCTTTCTACATTTATTGTATTTGTTTTCTTTTCTTGGGCACATCTTATGAATATGCTGTTGAATACATATATGGAATAGAGTATGGTTTGAAGATTATATTGAATTTCTTTTATTATATTCATTTTTCATGTATTTGTTAGTTTACATTAATGGTCCGATTCTAAATTAAATATGGAGTACTAAAAGTTACAATAGTTTGTTTGAGCGTGTAATTGTCGTGGACAAAGACAGGTGCACCCATTTGAATCAGCAGTTTTTTCTTTTTCTTTTTAAGGGATCAAAATCTTGCCACATCTAAATTGCCCACATGTTTAATTTCATGCACAATTTAATCCAAACAAAAAGGATGATGGTAAAAGTGTCTTATTTATATCACGCATATTGATCAATTTTTGTATCATTATTTAGTTGGTAGTTATGACTGATGGTAAAAGTGTCTTATCTTATATCATCTCCACACAATCTCATAGAATATGAGGGGGAAAAAAAATCTCATAGAATGACTTTTCACGCAGTTCTCTCTACTAATTAACTAAAAAAAACTATACAGACATACTTTTCTGAGTGATTTTCTTACTTTTGAAATGCCCACTACTAAGTTTAATACTCATAAACTTATTTAATTTAAAATAATAAGAACTACACAAATCAATACCACAAAGTTCAAGTTTTAATACAACATAAGAGGAACATAAGTTAAACAAAAATAAATACATAAATAGTTTCAAGTGTTCATTCTTTTCTAGTGGTACAATTATAAAGTCGACTTTTACATGACTAACACAAAATATTAAGGTATATGAATTTAGTTTTATGTTATGGAGCAGTGACCATGTATGATGGTCACATTGATCTTGCAACTTGGATTCCATAAGGAGTCATTTCGGCTGCACTTTGTTCAGATAATAACTACATTTATTCCTCAACTAGTGTAATTAGAATTACATTAAAAAAGTATACGTTATATATCATCTAGAAGGAACCGAATACAAATGATCATACCTATTGAACACGTGTCTGTATAATTCCACATCACCTCCTCTCCTGTGCCGTTCTCTTTTGACTTTCGTGGCCAAACTTTTATGATTTTGATTACCTGTTCAAAGTAAAGCAAATCTTCTCTCTCCAGTTCAATTGTAGACTCATAGGATATGATGATGATAAGGGTTCTCTTGTTAATGCATTTCTAATCTCCAATTTTGAAAAATATTTAGTAATCATTTGTTAACCTTACCAGGTCCTGCACTGTTATTCCTCATTTTATATCTCTCAAAATAATAAAAAGATAGGAATAAGAATAATAGTGCTTATGTAAATATTTTTACAATTTAAAAAATACCCTTAACAATTAAATGGATAAAATTATTATTTCACTTATATCTCATCTATTTAAAAGGGTATAATAATAATTTAGATTTTTTTTTTTTTTTTTTTCAATAACAATATTATCATTTTATTTCTTTTCCTTTCTCTTATATTCCTATCTCTATTTCTCCAAACATAAATAAAGATTATTTATATCTTTCTATTCTTTTCTTTTATCTTGTAACTAACAATATATTTTCTTTTCTTTTCTTTTTTCCTCCTCCAAACAAAACCTTACATACTTGGGGCTAAAGAAACAACAAAAAATACGTAGTATAAATAGTTATAAGAAAAGAGAGAGGAGAGATAGAGAGTCGGTTAAAGGAAGTAATGATTGAGACAGATGAAAAAAAAATACGTAGTACAAAGGAAAGAGAGCAAAGGTGGAGGAAGTCAAAATGGGGTGGGGGTATGTGAGGGGAAGAAATGAATTTATGAGGTTAATACGGGAAATACACTCTTCATTGAGCCGAATCAAATAATCCATCCGTCAGCAGCGAAAGGGTGGGTGGGGATGTGAAGGGGAAGAAATGAATTCATTAGGGTTAATATGGGAAATACACTCTTCAGTGAGTCGAATCACAAGTCCATCCGTTAGCAGCAAAAGGGTGGGTGGGGATGTGAAGAGGAAGAAATGAATTTATTAGGGTTAATATGGGAAATACACACTTCAGTTCGCAGCAAAAGTCCATCTTTAAGCACTAAGCAGCAATACAATTGGAACGTACAAACGCGCACGTGAGATTTTTACAAAGAATGAATGTTCTAAAAAGTTGCACTTTGCATGGAGTGAACAACTGCCAGTCGTACCCCTAAGAACTCCACCTTCTACCCCATTCCCCCACTACCCTCATATCTATACATATCTCTCTCAATCTCTCCATAAGTACCACCTTCTCTCCCCCATCCCCTCCACAACCCTCATCTCTCTCTCTCTCTCTCTCTCTCTCTCTCATTCTTGCTCTCAAACACACACACAGAGCTTTATTTGTATATATAGCATACAATGAAGCTCCTCATTAATACTAGTCTGTACAAAATTGCGAAAATAATGATGTTTATCTTATTCATCATTTTGATCACCCCCAAACCTCTTGTAGCAGCTGCAAGGCCTTTGAATGGTGGTGTGAAGACGAAGGCAAATGGCGGAGGATCAATGGATCAAAAGGCTCCACCTAAATATCCTACCCCTAATCCTTGCACTTATATTCCTAAATTTGCAGATGAGAATTGCAATATGCATTGATTCATGAGGTGGTGGACTTGGGAACATATTATGAATATATTTCTACATTTATTGTATTTGTTTTCTTTTCTTGGCACATCTTATGAATATGTTGTTGAATACATATATGGAATTGAGTATGGTTTGAAGATTATATTGAATTTCTTTTATTATATTCATTTTTCATGTATTTGTTAGTTTACATTAATGGTCCGATTCTAAATTAAATATGGAGTACTAAAAGTTACAATAGTTTATTTGAGCGGGTAATTGTCGTGGACAAAGACATGTGCACCCATTTGAATCAGTAGATCTGTTCCTTCTCTCCCACCTCTATCTAACTTTCTCTAACGCCTTCATCGTCTTCATCTCTCCGCATCTTCTTCATCTCTCTGCCTCTTCCACGGGAGTGGGGAGATGATGGCCGTCTTTCGTAGTTGCAATAAACTCGACGTGTTTTAATAAGCGTACTCCGTGGGTATTTTTTTACACCGTTTTGTTTTTTTTTTACTAGATCTGTTCATGTTCGGTTCGTTTTCGGATTACATGGGCGCATATGTTGTTTTCTCCGACTAAATCTCTGGTCTATGTCAGTTTTGATTTTTCCTGTCTCGATTTAATCTTTTTTCTCTTGATTTGATCTTGTGCGAGGTTTCTTGTGTGTCAGAGCGCCTTGTGGTTGTAACTTTAAAACGGTTGCCGTGTTGATGGCCAGATCTTTCGGTCTCTACAGTTTGCCGCGTTCTCTCATAGTGGTTCCGTTTGCAGAATGTTAGGCTCTATTTCTTCCACAAATCTAGAGTCTGTTCTTCATTTATTTGTTTTGCTTCAAGATTTGTATGACTTTTCTGGTTTGGCTTTATGTCTCTGTACCGCCGTTTTGACTCTTGGCTTTTGTGCCTTTGAATGAAATATATATATATATATATATATATATATATATATATATATCAGTAGTTTTTTCTTTTTCTTTTTAAGGGATCAAAATCATGCCGCATCTAAATTGCCCACGTTCAATTTCATACACAATTTAATCCAAACAAAAAGGATGTTGAATTTTTATATATTTCAAGTGGTGACCAATTTTATCCAACAGTAAGTTTTCTTTTGCGGGGGCACAAATGACAAATCGGAGGGGATCCAGATTTTTCTTTTTTTTTTTTTTTTTTTTTTTTTTTTTTTCAAGTGGCAGGGACGGTTTGAGATCTTTTCTTCATCTAAAGCCTACTTTTATCAACCGGCGAAAGCCAAGCTCTCTGCGACTGGTCAAATGATTCGTCGCTCCCCGGCGACTGAAAGAGCCATTCAACAGTGATAAATGTATGTCCGACTCTGATTACGATTCTCTTTTATTTTATTTATTTGTTTATTATTTTTTCCTTTTTGTCATGTGTTTGGGTTTGATTTACATGACATGTAGTATTTCTTCTTTTTATTTCAGTTATTTTATTTTATTTTTCTTCTTTTTATTCCAATTATTTTATTTTATTTTTCTTCTTTTTTTTGGGGGGTTTTGAACTTTTGATTTAGAAGACATTGAGTAGTTCTTCTTCTTATTTGATTTTTTTATGTTTTTTGGGAGTGGTTTGGGTATGATTTAGAGGACATTTGAGTTTCAGCGTATAGATTTATTGATTTGAAGATTATTAATATTATTATTATTTTGATGATTTGTCTTCGAATAATTTACTGTTTAGTATCGACTAGAATTTTGGATCTGCAATATTCTGGGAAATTTTAGCTCCGAATTGATGCGGAAATGAAGTTTTTTTTGAACAATATGAATTTGACTTGTGATAATATTTTTTTCTTTATGGTACAAAATTGTGACGTTGTGGAGTCGACGGATTGCGAGGTAATGAAGAGGACGTTAATGGGAGTTCCCTAAGGGCTAAGGTTTTGGGTTTGTCGCAGGTCAGTGTCTGTTTTATATTATTTTTATTACATTTGCATTTGTTGTTTTGAGATTTTTTATTTTTATTTTTATTTTTTTTCTGGTGAAGGTTTTAGAATTTTTTTTTTTTAGTTATGCTTGATAGTAGAAATAGTTTGTCATTAATTTTTTGTGAAGTGGGATCTAGAATAATTATTCTTGGTTTTCTTCGTATAGGTGATTTTATAGGTAAAGATTATGTTTGGTTGGTGAGAAAACGAAAGAAATTAAGAAATTTGAATGCAGATATATTTATAGCTAAAAGGACAGCAAAAAAATACTCCTAAAAAAGAAGAAAAATAGGGTGGTCTTGACGTGATTGGTGTTTGACTAAAAGATGGGGAAAAGATGAAAAATAAAGATGGGGAGATGAAAGGGACAAAAAGATGGGGAAAAGATGAAAAATAAAGATGGAGGGATGAAAGGGACAAAAAGATGGGGAAAAGACTGAAAAGTATCCTACTGAAAAACAAAACAAACCATCATTTTTCTATCCGGGGAACAAAAGGTGGGTAATGAATCTTCTTATTCAAATGTGTAAATGATCAAAACCGTTGGTGTGATACAACACCGTTTTATTACCACCGCACCAGGTTTCAAAAAATTGAGAGATAGAAGAGAGATGGCGCAAGGAGGAAGAAAAGAAAAGAAGGGTTGCACTGGCTTTTATTCGGTGACATTGCTAGCCCAAATATTTGATTTATTGAGTCTGCAAATTTAGTCACCTGGTATAACATTTTCCTTAATTCATCAATTCATTGATCGGAACCAAGTGATATAGGTGGTGCAATTTAGACTGAATTAACAAACCCACCTATTTAACCGGATCTACCTGTTTGCTTAAGTGGTAAATAACATGTGGGTATTATTATTATTATTATTATTCAGCTTCAAAAGAAAGAAGAGGGAATATGTTCCCTAAATGGAACATGATGTTGATCAACTTTATTGGTATTATTGGAGTTGCATAAATAGGAAGAGTATATCATGCTTTTATATATGAATTGCAATTTCAAAGCATGTATTAATTAAATACCTTGTAACACAGGTAATTCCAAACTTTTCACACTGAATATTCCTCGTCCATATGTTTTTATGTAAGGTTCTACCTTAGTATTGGGCAGACTTTATTCTATCTATTATCTCAACAAAGTTTCTACATCTTAGAAACTTCATTCATTTTGCTTATCTTACGGACAAAATGTTTAGGTACCTGACTGGAGAAAATTGCTGCTTAGGGTTATTATATTGACGCAAGCACATAGATCCACTCAACCCCCACCACAACCCCAAAAATAAATAAATAAATAAGCAAATCGCGCACACGCTTACGGGTGGTTTCTTTTTGGTGCATGCATAGTCGTGGGGCAGCATATAAATTCCTTGTAGAATACTAAGTGTTGACAACTGGAAGTTTGAGCTCTCTGTTATCTTGCCTCCTTTTATAGTGACTTTGTTTTTATAGAAATTTGGATTACTACTATTCTTCTACCATGTTTTCCTGCCTTATTTTGGCATGCCTTTTCTTTTTAGAATGTTACTTTTTGTGTCTTGTATTGGTCTCCAATCTCCATGCAGAATTTGTTGAGGAAAACTTTTCCATGACCGGTGATTACTAATTTTCCATGAGGTGGATCAAATCATGACTAATTTAGTGAGGTGTGGGAAATAGAACTAAATTTCGGCCCAAGTGTTTTAATAATAAGAAAAACTAGACAAAATAACTGGTACTTTCTGTAAGGATTATTGACTTGTTGCCACTTGACATAGCCTCTAGAAGTCATGACATTCAGCACATTAACATCTATATTTTCATTTCGAGTGAAGGGTCATACTCCTTTTTGGCAGTAGGGTGGTCTGTTTGGGAAAAAAATGTATATTATTAGGTCCAGTAGATTTTTTAGGAGGTGAAAGTGGACCTTGAATTATTTAGAACACGTTCGGAATCTTTAAAAATTAATTCGGAGCCATTCGGGACACTTCTGGGGCGAAATGGGTCCCCAGTGCTCGAGCCCTGTCCCTGTTCAGCAGCGTTCGAGCGCTGGTTCCCAGAACCAGCTCTGCAGGTCCGTTTTTGAGTCTGAAATCCCTCGTTTCGGGTCCTATATCGTGCATCTAAGTCCCAATTAATTTCCAAACATCATACCCATCATAAATACATGTTTTATGCCATCATGATTGAAGATCAATGCCTTTATTCGCAAGTTCCATCATCATATATATAAAGGTATATATTAAACCACCCAAACGTGTGCATACACAAACACGCAACTCCGATTTCATGCTATTAACCTAAGTCTATGTGATTAGTATGCAATTTCAGTCTAGAATCATGGTACCCAAGGTATAGAACTTATGGGTTCTAAGAGGAGAAGTAGAGAAAGAACTCACCTGAAGGTTTCGAAACGAAAACGACGCTCCACAAACTTTTCGGATCGCCTTCTTTGTCTCCGGCAGCCTCCTCAGTCACCGGCGTCCTCCACCTTGGTTTGGCCTTGCCTTCTTCTTCTTCCTCCTCTCTTTTCTTCTCTCTCTCTCTCTCGGCACCCTCTTCTTTCTCTCGGCGCCCCCTCCTTTTCTCTCTTTTTATTCTTGCGTAAAATCTTACTAGAGCTATATATATATATATATATAACCCTAGCCTCTCCTAGTCAGACTAAACATATAATATATAATAATATATATATAATTAATGTAACATAATATATATATATATAGAGAGAGAGTACTGATCTCTTGCTCCTGGTGGAGTAAGAAAAATTTTCTGTACTTTCTATAGCGACCATTAGATTAAATCTAATGGTCACATTTCAAACCCACCTATATACTTTCCTTTAGATTAAATCTAAGATTTGACAACTGGAAGTTTGAGCTCTCTGTTATCTTGCCTCCTTTTATTGTGACTTTGGTTTTATAGAAATTTGGATTACTACTATTCTTCTACTATGTTTTCCTGCTTTATAAAGCAGGTAGATTTTTTATCCTACATTGTATGTCACCTGTGATCTTATTTTGGCATGCCTTTTCTTTTTAGAACGTTACTTTTGTCTCCTGTATTGTTCTCCATGTAGAATTTGTTGAGGGAAACTTTTCCATGACTGGTGATTACTAATTTTCCTTGAGGTGGATCAAATCATGACTAATTTAGTGAGGTGTGGGAAATAGAACTAAATTTCGGTGCGAGTGTTTTAATAAATAAGAAAAGCTAGACAAAATAACTGGTACTTTCTGTAAGGATTATTGAATTGTTGCCACTTTACTCGGCCTCTAGAAGTCATGACATTCAGCACATTAACATCTATATTTTCATATCGGGCGAAGGGTCATACTCCTCTTCGGCAGTAGGGTGGTCTGTTTGGGAAAAGAAATATATTAGTAGGTCCAGTAGATTTTTTAGGAGGTGAAAGTGGACCTTGCAGTATTTATAGACTGAATTGTTGATCTATGGCTTGTGGGTGCTCCTATATCCCTCTACGTACTGTTTTAGACTTCCAGTCCCCTTTGTTCTGTAATTCCTGCTTAGATATGGCCGTACAATGATCGATGATTTGATTACGCCTTGTATGGATCCCCCTCCCCCTTTTTTTCCCTCGCTGAAATCAATCACAAAAAAACACCAAAGGAGGTGCAACCCAACCGTAGGTGGGAGCATACTAGAGTAAAAATAGGAAAATGGTTCCCTTGACCATATGTAAAACATCCTCACATTTATCTTATTAATGGTTCTTTTTAACGAACTGCTTTTGCAGATGTCCATGTTATATAATAATGATATTGCACTCATCATTATTTATCATATAAGTTGAGCTCTGCTGGTTATTTTTTTTTAATCATTTTCTAAGAAGTTTGGTTGCTCTTACATATTTTGGGAATCATAGAGAACATTAGTTTCTTGCAGTGTCCACACTGTGGTGATCAGTGGCATATTTTTGGTAAAGGAGGGGCTCATAAGACAGCTGATGATATGGGATTGGGATTTCTCGGTGAGGTATGCTTTCCGATTTGATCTTTCAGGATAGCTGGTTATAATACGCTAGTTGGCTGTTTTTGGAAGAAAAATTAGTGTAACCTATGCCAGTTGTTGGTGGTACCACTAGAAAATTGTATATATATCATGACAAGAAACTCACACACTCACATTGCACAACGTTTGACTTCGCTAGTGAGAGCTCCTTTTGTGGATGGAACCCTTTTCAGGATTTTTTTTTTGTTTTTGTATGGCCGTCAATGTTATGGCTTTAAATACTGCAGTTACTATTACAATAAGATTTTTAACGTGATAATATGTTATATAATAAGTTATATGTTTGTTCCTCTGCTACTCTAGTTTAGCAATGGCAACGGTGTGGACAAATTTGGCACCTAAGCTGGATTTGGTTAGAGCCTCAGCCAAGACCATCACAGCTGACCCACTGTCGATGGGCTGCAATCAGGCTGAACCAACATCTGGCTATCTTAGCTCAACTCATCAAATCAAACAGCTGTTCAAGCTCCGCTCGATTGCGATAGAGTTTGGGTACAAGGGATTTCATTGAGTTAGGATACATTGATACAAGGGTTGCAGCTCGACTTGGGTTTAGCTGATAAATTGTTATATGATTTCGGGATATTGGTCGTGATCACAAGTAAAAAACTAAATAAAATTGTACTTTTATGTATTCATATTATATTTGGGTGAAGTGAAACTAAAAAAACACCCTCATAATATGCCCATAGAATGCTTGCCAAATTTTTTTCCTAAACTATATATTTGCAAATAAAAATAAAAAATAAAATAAAATAAAAAAGGTAGGAGAACCGGACTCTTCAATTTGGAAGAATCTCTTTTCCTTCATTTGATTTTTTTGTGTTTTTTTTTTTTAACTTTAGTGGTAGGGACCGGTTAGTGGGTTTTAGCCTGATCGATTAATTTTTCTCATGTAGAATTGGGTTCAAAAAATTAATTTCACCCAGCTTGGCTATTAGTTTGTCCTATTTGGTGCTAATTATCTTGATATGGAAATTACAACCAAAATCAAGATTTCTTCAAAAAAATGTATCAACTTTATTCCTTTTTAAATTTTTTATAAATACAATTTCTTCACATTCTTTTGTAAAGTGACTATTATCAAATATGGTGATATATTATTAAAGAACATTATTGTAAAATTAGCAACAAATTCTTGTATGACCAATTTTTTTGCACATTATCTCTAAATATGTTAGTTATTGAACATGAGGTTAATGATCTATATTGGAGTTGCATAAATTGGGAGAGATTTATAAAACTATTTTAAGATATTAATGAATTGCAATTTCAAATCATGTATTAATATTAAGTTGATACCATGTGACATACTCCCTCCGTCCCTTTTTAGTTGTCCGCCTCGTAAACTGTGACTCACAGTGAGTCACAGTTTACGAGGCGGGCAACTAAAAAGAGACGGAGGTAGTAGTTGATTACTAAACTTGGGTATAAAATTTTCTTATATAAAAAAGCTACCGACAAAACCATAATTATTGTTAACCAAGGAAAACAATTCGTGACTGATAAAAATATAGGAATCAAAAATATTATATGATATTGAATTAATGAAGATTGTATAAAGGTCCTATATATAGGAGAATGTTTGGGGATAGATAAGTGATGAGCAAAGTAACCTATAGATAGTAATATAGTTAGTGTAATCATATATGATAATGTGTAGTATGTAAGAAACCTAGGTGGTAGGAAACGAGCTAAATTTGTAATCTAATAGTTCCTTTCAAACTCGAGGTGAGTATAAACCTAACTGATTGAAGACAAGATCATGAAAGCAGTTTGGCGGAAATTTGTTTGAGATAGATTTTCACCCATGATGCAGATGGAGGCACGGTTAACAATTGATGTGGCACTATTGCTAGCACCGCAGCTAATTGTCTAACATGACAACTGTCGTGGCAGTTGTTGGTTGTGTCTGAGAATGAAGCATTGACTAAATTATGGAGCTATTGCCAAATTATGGAGCGACTGACATGAAAGTACGATGATGTGTCTGGGAGGTTAATTGGGCGGCCAAATAAAACATTTGTTGATTATGAACTTGAGATTGAAGATTGGGATGTGGAAGCATAAGTTTGAAGGTTGATCGCTGCCGAGAATAGGGGATGATGGTGCCATCCCCGGTTATCGAAAGGTTTTGATACCATGTTAAAAATAAATATATATTTTATTGTATTGAATTAATGAAAATTAAATAAAGGGCCTTTATATAGAAGAATGTTTGGAGTAGGTGGCTGATATAATGAACAAGTAACATATAAATAATAATATGGTTGATGTAGTCATGTATGGTAAGTTTTAGTATACAAGAAAGAATCCTAAAAAGTAAAAAGTTAAACTTATAATCTAACAATTATAATGGCAACATACATTTGGACCAGAAAAATCAGTACTCCAAATTTAGTTAAAAGGAAAAAAAAAAACGACTACTACTTTCTATAAAAGATTATTGAATTGTTGCCTATTGACTCAGCCTCTAGAAATCATCACTTTCAGGATGTTTCAATTTTTCAAATTTCTGGCACTCATCAAGGAGAAAAATTTAGGTCTGAGACTCTCCCTTTATGGAATCGCCTCCCCCTTATGTGGAAAGCTCTCCCTTAGTGGGAAGTAACTAGAAGATAAAAATTGGATACTTTTTATGGGTAATTTTGACCAAATCTGAACAAAAGTTAGCTACCATTTTCTTACCAACCAAACATAATCATCAGACAAGAAATCACTATATGTAATAATAATTATTTTAAAAGGTTAGTAATTAAAAAATAAATATTTTATCTTATTTTATCACTTTAAATAATATTCAAATTATGTTATAAAAATTAAATAAACACTTAACTTAATTGGATAAATCTTAATTCATTTCAAAATTAAATGTTGAATCTTCAACAAACCGCCAGCCAATTCCTGTCTTCTCCATCAATTAATCATCGCCGTCGTAGACGGCGTCGATGCCTCTTCCTTCTCTCCCAGCAAGCACTACTCTTCGGTGGTCTCCTCCTCTCCGTTCTTCTCCGCCGTCTCCTCAGCCTTTTCCGGCGAACCCACAGAAAAGGAAGAACTCTTCTCAATCTCCGGCACAGTTGAGTCAGGCACATCGGCTGGCTTGTCGACGGATTGGCGAACCACTTTCTCTCTCTTCTTGGACTTCTCGCCGTTGGCCAAGTGTTCCTCGAAGGCCCTCAATGGCTTGGTGGATGAGCTCACGGTTCGGCGACGAGTCCCACCGGAACCAGTAGCTCGTGTAGCAGTCAAAAGTCCAAACAGCCACAATCGAAGACCGGAAGCTTGTGGGCGTCGGATTTCTTGGCCGATTTCTTCTTCTGGTCGTCGGCGACGAACCATTTGAACAATCACGACGCGTTTTTGGTAAAGAAGTCGGCCTTGCGACTCCAGTACAAATACGTCTGCCACACGTCACATTCATTCTCCTCTCTCTTTCTAACAAACCCATTTTTTCCGTATCGGTTGGGTCTGTCTGTCACGTCTGTGAGATCGGCGGGACAAGGTTGCTACAGAGTCCGGTGATCAAGGCGTTGACGGACCGTCGAGCAAGGCGGTTCAGAGAACTTAGAGGACGGCACTCTCGGTGATGTGGTGATGGCAGTGAGCAGACGGTCGGCAGCGGCGATGGAATGACCATGAGCAAAAGAACCCACTGGCGACGATGGAGGAATGGCCCAACGGCGGCGACAGTAGCGACTAGAGAAGTCGTATTCCGGCGAAGGGCGGGATGACGGTGGGATGGACGGCGAGGATGAAGCCGGGATCGGATGTGGAGAATTCGGCCGGTGGAGTGCTTGGCTGAGGATGATCTGACCGGCGGTGGCGATGGGCTGGCTGTGATGGAACGATGGCAGAGAACTCGGATGTGGAGAGATGGCGACGGCGAGCTCGGACGGTGGAGGGCTCGGCCGTTATGAAGAACTGCGACCCTCACTATCAGACCCAGTATTTGCCTCCGATGTCTCTTCACCGTTTGTGATTCTCAGACACGATTAGGTCACGAGAGCTTTGGAATCCTTCCCATTGAAGGGTCTTCTCTAACACCCTTTTCTTTCTTCGCTGTATTGAACTATGGATTGATTTTTTCGTATTTTTAATAATTAAAGTTACTTCCAAACGAATCAGTCAAAGTCAGCGGCCTATCTCGACCCATTAACTTCAATTAATCAAGAAAAAGTACAAACGTAAGTGGAGTATATATTTGTGGCCATTAATATGAACTATGAAATATAAGAAAAATGAATATAATAAAAGAGATTCAATATAATCTTCAAACTGATACTGATTAATGTATTCAACAACATTATACATAAGATCTGCCAAGCAGCCAAGAAAAAAAAAAAAAAAGAAAAAAGAAAAAAAAAAAGACATACAATCAAAATAAAAATATATATATTCATAACATGCGCCCATGCAAGGGAAAAAGACATGCAATCAAAATAAAAATATATATATTCATAACATGCGCCCATGCAAGATCACTATCTCCAAATTAAGGAATATAAGTGGGCGGATTTTGGGCAGGATATTTAGGTGGACCCTTTTGATCCATTGATCCGCCGCCATTTGCCTTCGTCTTCACACCACCATTCGAAGGCCTTGCAGCTTCTACAAGAGATTTGGGGGTGAATATGAGAAATAAGATAAAGATTGTCAATTTTGCAATCTTCCCAAGGCTATACGTATTCATGATCGGGAGCCTCATTGTACAACGAAACCTGTGTGTGTGTGGTGTGTGTGAAAGTATGTGTGTGTGTGTGACAGTATGTGTGTGTGGGGTGTAGGGGGTGTGTGTCGTGTATAATGAGTATATATATAGAGACGAGACGATTTTTTTTACTTCACAAGATAGAAAATTTAAAATAATGGAGAACCGACTTAGTTTGGGTGGGTGGTCGAGACATTCTAGAAGGACTGCATTAGCATACGAGTAATTTAAAAATTATGATTGAGTTAATTATCTATCAATTGTCACGTCACATCACTTTTTTTATTTTTATTTATCAACTAATAAGAACCAAATAGTAAGAATAAATAGCCAATCTTGGGTGAAATTAATTTTTAAAACCCAATCTTGTTGGCAATATATCTAAATATAAGAAAGATAATCACATAAATATTATTAATATGTTATAAAAATTAACATCTTAAAATATCACTACTATCTTTTAAATTTAATTAAGTCAAATTCAACTATACATTCATATAATGACATCATCCATAAACTCATGTAATCATTGTCGGCTAATTTTTCGTTCAAAATTAAATATAATGTCAAAAAATAAGATTTAAACATTTATATCAGTATATAAAGATATTGTGCGTAAAAGTTGAAATTTTACCCAAACGGAATTCTTAAAATTTCAATTCTGTTGTCATAACTTTCGCCTGCGAGGACAGAAAACAGTTTGAGTTTGAAACGCAATTGACCAAACACCAACGAATGCTTCTAGTTCATTGTAGAAGTCAGCTTACTAAAGATGTTGCTCTTGTCATATTCAGGTTAGATATTATTGCTCGACAGCTAAGAATCATTTGCATTGATTTGTACTCCTATTTCTCTTTGTCTTTTGCAAAGAAAAAAATAAAATAAAACGTGAATGTATTATATTCAATTTTTATTTTTATACATCTTAAAATAAGTGTTTCGTTTAAAAAATTAATGTATTATTTTTTTTATAATATTATCAATTTATCTATTTATAATGAACTTATAAAAAGTTTATTATGATCGCGTCATTGTAAATTTGTTAGGAGTAAATTTAATAATTCATTCACTATTAATATAATAAAAAATAATAATAATTATTCTCTCAAAAGATCAGAGTTCAAGAAAGGAACACTTAGTTTGGGAGGAGGAAGAAATTAGGAGGGGGTAGATATGATCACACAAGTCCGCAAAAACAGTTTCAATTTGTAAGCAATTTTACCACACCAATGAATACTATAAAAAGATATTAATGAAACTACTCGAACATATTTGACCTCAACTAGTTTTCTTTTTGCTAACATTATGCCCTAATAAATAATTAGGATTAATCTCAGCCGTTGGAGATATTTTTGAAAATCACTATCACCTATCCTGTAAATTTTTGTTCTGTCTTTCACTCACATTCTAAACGTTAGCGTCAGAACTTTGACACCATGTAAAATGATTTAAATACCCTTTGACTTTGTTCAAAAAAATTTTTACCTTAAAAATTAATTAAAAGACTAAACTATCCCTATATACTTTGTAGTTAAATGGGTAGGCATAGTCACATAAAGCAGTGAAAACAATTTTCACTTTGTACCCATTTAATTTGACCTAGTGTATACTAGTTTATTTATTTTGTCTTGTTATAAAATATTAGGCTAAAATTATAAAACCTTCACTACTTTTAAAATTTGATTGCATTTTAAATTTGATTACTGTGCCTCTAATATATAATGAAAAGGAAAATTTACTCTACCACCAACCATTAAATTTGATAAGGGTAAAATCATTAAATTTGTGACACAGATATGAACAGTAAGGCGGTTCAAATACAAATAATATTTTATAAGTTGTTTGAATGGTTTGTCCGATCTGCATGTGAATTGAACCCCACACGCACGGTAGGCATGATTGAATTTTTTTTGTTTTTCATTTTTATTTTTACATCAAATTTGAATGTATTCTTCCAAAATTTTATGTCACAATTCACAACACCTCATCAACTGTAGCACGTACTATGTGCCTCCCACTAAAGGATAGATTCTATATTAATAGATCAGTAACATAACGGTATCAAAATTTTATTTTTTAAGTGAGGTTGGAAGCTCAAGTACCAATGAAAGTATATATGTGTGAAAAAAAAAAAAAAGGGGCTCTGTCCCCTTGTACATAATTCCATTCTATTTAATAAGTCTCTGATACTGTATTTTATTGTACACGATGAGCATGTGCGTGTAGAGGATATAAGAACGGCGTTAAAAGAGTCATATTCGATGAGCATGTCTGTTGACAATCAGTCATAAATAACAACAATTTAATATTGTTCTTCAGAGAGTCTACAGCAACCACCTAGAAGGAATAGAACATTCTCTTTGACCGAACCATTTATTGCCTAGTTTGTGCCACATACTCCCAAATTAATACAAGAATGCGGCGCGTATAGAAAGTCAGAGTAAGATTAATCTAGATAGTTTGTTCAGGCAATCTGCGACCAGCTCTTCAAATTTTGACTTTTAAAAAACGCAACATCAATTTTTTTTTACCAGTCACATCGACTTTTTTTAAGAGCTGCGTCGGTAACTTTAAAAGCCACATTAATTGTTTTTGCTCTCTAAAAATATACGTTCGTTCTCCAAATTTTTATTTTTTTAAAAAATTAATAATAATAAATTAAAATTAATTTTTTTTTATTTAAACTTTTCCTAAATGGCTATATTTGTAACCGTTATATTTTTAAACGGCCAAATGCATTATTTGTTGTACACATTTAAAAAAAAAAAAAAAGGGAAAAAACAAAATAACAAGTTTTTTTTTAATTTATTTTTGACCCAAATAAAATTTATTTTTGACAAATAGTGCCTAAACAATATATTTTTTATTTAATATATTTTATTTTAAAAAAAGAGCTCAAAGTAACCTATTTTTAGGTTTTAATTAAAAAAAAAAATCTGCCAAATAGTTCGGCACACTGTGGAAGGAATTCTGGAATAAGACAAAAACTGCACCAGAAACAGGTATTCAGCGATCGCGAGCCGGCTCGCTGAATACCTCGAGCCTGCCCTCGATCGCTAATGGGCCCCATCAAGTTTAGCTAAGCCGCTGCAGGGCCTTTAGTGGATTGGCTAGCCTAAAATGGGCTATCAAGAGCCCGCTGCGGATGGCCTCAGAAACTTAATTATCCTCTCAAATAAATGTTCAGTGCTGTTCAAGCCTGCTTTAGCTGGTGATAAACTTTTCCAAATCTAAGATGCACTTGAGCTTAGGCTCCTAAGAGTAAAATATTTTTGGGATAATTTCACTGACACCTCTGAAGTTTGATCAAATATCAGTATTAAGTTTCTTTCGAAAATAACTATTATGAACGCTCATACCCCAGAAGTTAGTTGACTTCATATCACTTTTATATGTAAAAAAACATTTTTACCCATTGACTTTGGTTTGACCCTTTAACTTTAGTCTACCCTTATTTTTTTAATTTATTTTTTTCCAAAATACCAGTATTAAAAGACAATATGACCCCTTAAAAGACAAATTGACAGACTTTATATACACACAAAGACATATATATATATATATATATATATATATATATATATATATATATATGGGTTAAGTGCAGAAAACCCCCCTCTACTATCGATATAGTGCATATCAGTCCCTATGTAGTAAAAAAAACCCCTATTGGATCCCTAGTGGTGTAAAATGACGATAATACCCTCACTTCGGTTAAATAAATTAATGATTATAATACAGGCCATGTAAAATGACTATTTTATCCAAATTTGTATAAAATAGGGTTTGTTTGGTAGAAGGATAATTTAAACCTCAAATTGTTTTAAATATGAGATAACTTAAACCTGAATATAATTAACTCTAAAACCAAACATGCCCCAACTATATAAAACACACTTAACCATTTTCAACCCAATGTAATCTGGTCCGGTAGTGACTCTTTTGTGACCCTCGCACAAATGATTTTAACTTATCGGCTCTGTAGGTACTCGTTAATTTAAGAAAGTAAGGTATCTTCAGGGAAGGAAAGTGATATGAAGTATGAAAAAAAAGTGTGATGAACCTTCACAGACAACATACTGTTGGAATCAATTTTTCTAAAGCAGAGGATAGCAACACTTATGCTTCTTTTTTTTTTTTCTTTTTTTTTAAGTTTTACCATCATATTAACTTTTTCAACGTCATTTCAGCCAATCTCGACCATCTGTTTTAAATTTAATTAGTAAAATAATTATGTTTTTTTAGGTGATCTTGGGCACATATATATTATGAGTATCTTTTTTCTTTTCCTTTTTTTCTTTCTTCTTCTTTTTTTGTCTTTGTCATCTTGTTCAATATATGCATCGAATGTGATGTTGTATGCTCAAAAAAAAAAAAAAAACTATATTGAATCTCTTTTATATATTCAGTTTTCATGTAGTATTTCATAGTTGGTATTAATGCTCAGATTCCAAATCAAAAAAAGAAAAAAAAAGAAAAAGAAAATGTGCAAGTAATATTTGCAGATTTTACAATTACATAAATAAAAGTTACAGTATTCTCTACCTACTTCTTTCTTAGGCCAATAGAAGCCCATTCAAGCAGGAGCAACAAATTAGGGCCATCCCTAACAACAAAGAGTGAGCCCAAGCCCAAGTCAGCTTTTTCCCTAACCCATAACACAAGCCCAATCCCAAGCCCAAGATATGTGTGGTACATGCATATCCGTGGCGTGATTGTTTAAAGCTCTCTTAAGGCCTGGCCTGGTCCTATGTGTTCCATGTTATTTTAGAAGTTGGGCCTTCGGTCTGTTTTCTTCGGCTAAAGCTGAAGTCCACTGTAAATATTAATTTTTATTTAATACAAATTACTTAACTTTCCCAAAAAAAAAAAAAAAATTTGTTTAAAATTATTCCATAAAATAGTAATATTATTTTTAATTTAAAATATTATTCTTATTTTTTTATAAATTAGACTAATTATTTAACCATATAAATATATGAAAAAAAAAAATCAAAATTTGAGAATACATTAAACGTGTCAAATAGTTAAAGCGAAGTCATATATAAATAATAACTAAGTCACTTTGTGGACGGTTTATAATTGCAAAAAATTAGTTCCACTGAATAGTGTAAAATTGAAAGATTAAAATGTTTAAAACTTATGTAAAAAAACACTAGCGAACAGTGTCTTGGCATGTTTTAGGCATGCGCACAGGCGGAACCAAAAATTAACTCTTGGGGACACAATGTTAAAAGTAAAAAATACCATTACAAATAAAATAACATAATTTATAACTAATAAAATACTGCGTAAATTATTTGGAACAATGTAGAAATAAATAAATAAATTATTTGGAATAGCGAAAAAGAAAATAAATTTTTTCAAATTATTCGGCTAGAATTAATAAACAAAAGTCTTTTTTTCTTATTTTGGTAGGTTAAATTAACAAAAAGTCTTCTTTTGTTACATAATCATATGGAATGATTTGTGTGAATTAAGTTCCTTTAATTTAATTGATTGATGAAATGCCATTACAAGTAACATCCTATGTCACAAAATATAAAGATTATTTATAGTCAATTAAATAAATTATTTGGAATAGCAAAAAAGAAAAAGAATAATATTCGAATTATTCGGTCAGAATTAATAAACAAAAGTATTTTTCTTATTTTGGTAAGTTAAATTAACAAAAAGACTTCTTTTGTTACATAATTAAAAAAAAGTTAAATCAAAGATTCCAGAACCCAAAGGTGGAAGAATAATGGAAAAGTTGCAACTTGCAAGCCTCAAATTGACTCTCTGATTCATTTCCATTCACCCGTTCAACCTTTTGATTCCCTTTATAATACTCCCTCATTTCCTTTATTTTCCCTCTCTCCCTCTCTCTCTCTCTACCAATTGTCTCTCTCTGTGTGCTCTCGGCACTCTCTCTGAACTGAATGCATCACCTCACCATAACCCTCAAATCCCCAATTACATGCAATGGATTGTCTCCTCATCCTCATCCGATCACTTTTCAAAACCCTAGACTAATCCACCCCATTTTGCCCACAATCTTACACAACAACACTCACTCCTCGATCTTCAGCTGTAAAGGAATCGAAGTCTCTCTTGCCAAACACCGCACTAAATTTTCCAATTTCTCCGATGGCAATGAAAGATTGAGGAGTGTAGGAGTGAAAGATGTCGATGTTGCCACTCTCGGAAATCTCTGCGTCGATATTGTCCTCAATGTCCCAAAGTTACCTCCGGCGCCGTTGGATGAACGTGAAGCTTATATGGAACAGTTGTCTAAATCGACACCCGATAAGGTTGGTATGTATGTATGTAGTAAATTACGTGTATACAAATTGAACTTCATGATTATCATTTTGTTACGCCTCTGAAATTTGTGTGTGTATATATATTTTAGAATTTGGGTCACTTTATGTTTTATGCATATCGAATCAATCCCAAACCATATTTTAATTGATGAATTTTAATGTTTTATTGAGTATTACAAAAAATTATCGTTGCTTCTAGGAAATAGAATGATTCAGCATTTTTTTTTTTTTTTTTTTAAATGCATTGCCTTTTCAATTTTTAGAGAGAATAATAGCTTTTCAAGTTCAGTAGGATCTGAACTTCTACATCTTCTAAGGTTGTTAACGAAGAACATGCATATTGAAATCCAAACATATTTAAGGCTATAGATATGTGGGGCAAGTCATATTAATTGGACTTAAAGTTCTTTACTTATCAAAAAAAAATTAATTAATTGGACTTAAAGTTCTTAACTTGTGGATGTGGGACAGGGGGACTGCATGTGTCCCGTGGTGGATTATGGGGTGCTCTAAGGGGCCGACACCACCATTGTCGACGAATATAATATATATATGGATGACTGAGTTGTTAAAGTTTCCAATTATCGTGAAGGAAACTCCAGCATTACACCCTCAATCCATTTTTGTAATCCTCGAATGGATCCATAGGAATTGATACCCATTTTTTTTACAATCTCCCAATCATTGATCATAACAGCACTATTTTTACATACCACTCTAGTAGACATGGCAAGGACATTATTCCTCCCCCCCTCCTCACATTGTGTATACTCACTCATTTTTTGATAAGTAAGATTTCATTAAAGAGCCCTAAAAGGGGAGTGCAGCCTAAGAACAAAAGCAAGTCCAAGAGGGTCTGCTATACAATCAATGTATCCACAAAAAAAAAAAAAAAAAAAATTACATCTCCACTGATTTACAATTTTACCCATGTACCCAAAAAAAAAAAAAAAAAAAGGTATAAAGAATGGAGAACTTGAACACCTATATGTGAACCTCGACTTCTTCAAATGACCGCCTGTTCTTTTCACGCCACAACCCCCACTATAAACAAGTGTGCGCCACCCTCCAAGCATCTTGGACTTGTCTCCTCATTGCATGTCCTCTCCAAGCCTCAAGCATGGTTTGCACCTTTGTGGGGATTCCATCATAACCCAGTGGACGCCAAATAGGGCAAAAACCCAATTATGTCGAGACACAGGGCAATGCAAGAGAAGATGACTGACTGAGACTCTTCTTCCTGCTTGCACATGCAACACTAGTTGACTCATCATCCCACCCTTTCCGGATGGGCCTTCCAAACACCCACCCAGCTGGCTGCCTCACCTCTAGAGAGCACCACCCACCCCTGTACTTCCCAAACTTGGGCCTTTCCACCCAAACCTCCACAACCACTTCCCAAGCAAGGCCTTGTTGAACATATCCAACCTCTTGATGCCCAACCCACCTGACTGGATAGGCCGACAAACTTGCTTCGAGTTGCACACATGTTTGATTTGGGACATGAGTATAGCGTCATTTTTATTTTTTCTTCTTTTATTATTATTTTTTTATTTTTATGAAAAAACGAGATAAAACTGGCAATGCACCGGTCTGAGAGTGGTAAATGAGTTCAATTTCATGTTTATGGAGGGGCATACGTTTAGGCTGACGAACAGCAGAACTGACCAACCTGATGTTAATTTCTTAGTTTGATTTGATTCTCCAGCGCCTTTGATTCATTTCTGGATTGTAATTTTTGAAGAACTAAGGAGTTCAATTTTTGTTCTGTGTGGGGTGGTAGGTTCGATGAACGAAACCCTATAGATAATCCATTATCAAATAATAAATAAAACTAATAATTAACATTCTTCTTTCCCACCATATTCTCCAGTCACAGCATTTGTGTGAGACTGTAGACTTAATGAAGAGCAAAAATGATGTTCTGCTTTGTTGACGTGGGATTGCTCAAACAACAGCCTTTCTTATCAGTGAGCTTGAGAAAAATTCAGTGGGCCCCCTTAACTCAAGTTCATAGAGTATTTTAATTGCCCACAACCACAACCATGTAAAATACATAAACTTGGAAGCCAATATCTGAATGGAAAAACAAATCCCACTATAATATATTAATACACCACATATGTTATATGCACACATATATCATGAGCTATATTGCAAATAAAAATAATTTAAAATTATTTGTAGAAATTTTAAAATTTTAAGTACCCTTAGCTAGTTTGATATTTTAAAAAATTTACTTTTTGATGTGTCTAGGAACCAAAAAAAGCTCCTTAAATGGTAGATATTTGAGCTCACTAGAGCTTTTGATTGAAGCTAAAATTTCAAGATTTTAATTGAGCTTGTAAGTAGAGGTTCTAAATTTTAGGTAACCATTTTTTCTTAGACAATATTATCTATTTTTTTTTATAAAGACAATTTTTACCCTTCTTTTATAATAAAAATATATAAAATATGATAACAGAAAAAGATTAAAACAACTTGATCCTTATGTAATTATTGAAGCCAATGAAACTCTATAAGAATCAATATAATGGTACTGCAATGTTTTTTAGTGCATAAATATAATAACACTACATTAAAGGGCAATATTGTAAAATTAATAATAGAATTGATTTAAGCAATATTATTACCATACAAATAAAAGTACTTTAATTATGAGAAATACCTTACACACTGCATCTTCAAAACTTAACATGCTCTTTGCATGTGGAGAAGTTGTTTTCCATTTTGAACTCATAACACAGTGGAGCAACCTTACCATTGCGCCAAGGCCCGCCTTCAACATTTTTATTTAAAGAATAAATTTCTTACTATATATATACCACTTTATATATAACTGCTTGGAATGGTGTTTGAAGTTCTTAACACCATAGATTCTAAGAAGATGTTGTGAGTTCACTTAACAAAAAGATAGCTACAACTACAATGTGGGGCATCACATATATATTTCTCTTTTGGGTGAACTTTGGGAGTTCAGAGTTAACTGGGAACTTCCTTCCTTCAATATCTTACTGAGGTTGGAACAAGATATGAAAAACTTGAATTTAAATGTGACTATCAATTACAATATTCAATTAAGGATTTGTGACGTGCAATAAAGGTCCGTTGCATTGTTATCCAGGATGATGATTAGCTATACTTTTTTCCCCTGGACAGCGTGATGATTTACATTAATGCGAAGTAGATAGAAGAAGAAATGGGGAACATAAATGATGAGATAATAGTTCAGATATTGTCTGATTGCATTTGGCAGTTGTTATAATATACTAATATGATGGTGGTTATATATTAAGAGTATGTTTTACAATTTTACTAATCAAAAAAAAAAAAAGAGTATGAAGTAAACCATGCTACTTTTGCAAAAACTGGTTTTTAGTTGTCTTCTTTGTGAATTTTGCAGTGTTGCATCAACCTCCTGGCAAATGATCAAGGTAGAAAAGTTAATGTCAGAAACAAAAATAGAGATATAGCATATTAGCAGGGATCCTATTACACTAAAATCACATGATGTAAGTTTAGGAAGAGGAAGAAGAGAGAATAAGGGGTGCAACTTGGGTGGTTGGGCGGCTAACCTAAGCGTAATCTGAGTTATAAAAGCTTTAACCCAAGCCCAACCAACCCAACCTTCAACCCAAGCTCCCAACCTGAGCCCGACACACTTCCACATATCTGAACTCGAGTTAAGCTTGTGTTAGAGCAATCGGACTGAAAATTGGGTTGATCTCGGATTAATTTCGGGTTAGATTACACCAATGCATAAATTTTCTAAAATTTGAATTTAAATTTCTTAAAAATTATAAAAGATTCAGGATGTTAATTCTCCAAATTAGTAATATATATTTTTTTTAAAAAATGTTGATCATGATTTTATAATATTTATAATATTTTTATGAATTATAAATAGATATAAAGAAAAAACTTAATATATATATATATATATATATATATATATATATAAAGTAGAGATAAAATTTGGGTTTGGATTGGGTGCCGGTTGGTAACGGCTTAACTCACGCCCAACCCTAATTAAGTCCGGGTTGAGAATTTTCAACCCAATTCCAACCCTAATTGTAAAAATGGTTGCCCAAGCCCGTAAAATAAATCAGGTTGGCACCCCTAAGTTGCACCCTTACTGTGAAGAAGATAAATGAGACGAAGACTAAATTACCTCAAATGTTTCAATTTGTTAGCAGCTTAATAAAATCTACTCTCATTTTGGTAAAGCTGACGTATTCATAGACATATAGGCTCTTTTTAAGTTTTTCTGCAAGGGAAAATTTTCAAAAGAATTTTTAGTGCAGCAATGCGAAGAAGTTTGGACCCTAAGAGGCTACCTTGGAGAATTTCTTTGAGACAGTTTGACTGATTATATATATATATATAATTTTTTTTTTTTTTCCCTGTCCAAACAACTTTGACTGATTATATTCGATGATGATTAAGAGTAGCATATGTCCAGAAAAGTCATGGTCAAACATATATAATTAAAAATAGTAACAGTTTACTATTAACCACCTTACTGTTAGGTTGGGAATTTTCAATTATGATCTTTTTGAGCTGGGTAACCAACAGCCAATTGTCTCACCGTTATATTTTACAAATTGGTTGTTCTTGATGATACTCCTTACCGTTTTTCTTATTGTTCTTACACTAAACTTGAGCATGTTTTTTTTTTTTTTTGTTCCTTTTTAAGTATTGTTATTGACTGTTTAAAGCTTTGTACTATTTTGCTTTTGTGCATAGCAATACTGGGAAGCCGGTGGTAACTGCAACATGGCTATAGCAGCGGCAAGACTGGGACTTTGCTGTACAGCAATTGGTCATGTTGGTAGTGAAATCTATGGACGCTTCCTCGTAGATGTGCTTAATGATGAGGGAATTGGTATGGTGGGGATGAGTGAAGACGATGCTGATGTTAACGGTTCTGGTGCCGCATATGAAACACTTTTATGCTGGGTTTTGGTGGACTCTTTGCAAAGACATGGTTTTTGCAGGTAAAAGTACGCAAGTTAAGGTTCTTTTCTAAGGTCTGAAGACTAGCCTTGTACTGTACAAAGTTCATCTCTTTGATGGATGTTATTGTCACAATTATTTTTGAAGAATGGTGTCACTGAACACATTTGTTTTGTCTACCAGTCGAGCTGATTTTAGCAAGGAGCCTGCATTCAGTTGGATGAGCAAACTATCAAGTCAAGTAAAGATTGCTATAAAAAGGTCAAAGATCCTGTTCTGCAATGGTTATGGCTTTGATGAGCTTGCCCCTGGTTTGATTGTATCTGCTCTAGAATATGCTGTTGAAGTAGGGACTTCAATATTTTTTGATCCTGGACCACGTGGGAAAAGCCTTTCCACTGGAACACCTGAAGAACAAAGAGCGCTTGGCAAGTTCTTGAGGATGAGTGATGTTCTTCTTCTAACATCTGAGGAGGTTTGGAAACCCCCTCCGCTTCCCTACCTTTCTCTTTCTGCGTTTTCTTTTTTCTTTTTATCTTATACATTAGACCATTTTTCATTTACTCTTTCTAGGTCCATGTTGTATGTTAAAACTATAATCTATAAGCAGGGGGGGGAGCCAGAAATATTCATTTGGAGGGCCAACTAGTAATATAATAATAAATTTTAAAATTAAGAATTGAAATAATTGTAATGATTTTTCTTTCATCGCAATTTTAATGTATACTTTTAGGAGCATGTGAATGTCTTTAAATAATATGAGAAGAAAAAATGGAAAGAACAACAATTGTCCGATAAATGAAACGGTCAAGTTTCTTCTCTTTAATTCATAACAAATAGTGTGTGTGTGTGTGTGTGTATAAATAGAGTAGTTATATGCTGTAGCAAGGATTATAATAATAATTGACACTTTTTTTTTTACTAGATTTGATTTTTTAAAAGCAAGACTTAAATGATTTCTTGGAATTTGAAGGGGTCACAGGTAATTTTGTTTGCAAACCACCTTTAATAACCATAGATAGGTAGCCATAAATAAGAATTTTTTTTTAAATTTGGAGGGGCCGACTTTAATTTTCCTATACAGAATCGCAATTATTTTTTAGATTGTTGCCCAGTGTGTTGTTCGTCTGTTAATGGTTTGTGTTCACCTCCACTTAGAGCTTTTAACTAAGTTGCAGATGCTATAACGTTGTTGTGTATTGAACGAAATTGGTCACTGGTGTATACAGTGTTGTTAAAGGCGCGCCTAGGCTCCAGGCTTACTACATTGTTGCACCTGTTGTGTGCCCAGTTGCGCCTTTAATATGGAATATGAATATTCTTTAATAGTAATTAATTTTCACTTCTGTGCCTTGCTTAACTCAGGCGCGCACCTCGTCTTGTGCCTATGCTCCAAAGGACTTCCAGCGCCTTGGGCCTTTGATAACACTATGTGTTTTTTTGTAGAGATGCTAATTCATACCCATCTATAAGGTTCTTTACACCACTTGAAGATGCTGCCTCTTTGTCCTTCCTCATGTACTTCCAGGTTGCTGCTCTGCCAACTTGAAGCATATTGCTGCTTCATACTCATTCATGCAGCTCTTTCTTGCTATAAGTTATTTCTACCTCTAGGTTCTCAAGCTATATATCATTTACAATCTATCATTCCTCCTGCCATTTCTATTCAACATATATTAATCTAAGTTCATTTTATGGGCATGTTAAATCTTCATTGCTCTACTTTTTTGTCATAAAAGGTGGCTGGTCTGTGCCGAAGGCATTATCGCACACTGGAAAGTGATGGTATAGGATTTAAGGTGAAGAGGTGAGGTTATGGGTTCAATTCTCATTGTTATCATATCAATTAGGAAAAGAAAGGAGGAGAGAGAGAGAGAAATGTTTTTTTAGATGATAGATATTTTGATGCGTGACCAGTTATATATGTGAGTATAGGTCAATGTCATTTGGATTTTATTGAATCGAAAATTTTTAGTGCACTAGGACATGGTTGAAATGCAATAGTTGAACTTTTCTTCTATTCCGTAGGTTATAAGGATTTAACTGTCTGCAATCTGAAGTAATTCATATGAAAAGGGAGAAATAATATAAGTTTCCTGTGGAACTTCTATTAAGTTAGAAAGATATTTCTCATTTGCTTATAAGTATCCATGTCAGACTGCTCATTTAGTTCACTTAGTTGAAACAAGATGTGAAAGTTACAAATTGCACAAGGGTTTATTTTGAGATTCCTGAATTCCGCCAAGTGTTATCAGTTCGCACCTGTATCTCTTAAAGTTGTATGGTAACAGGATGTTATGCTGTTTCATTAAATGAATGGGATCATGTTCCAAAGGGTCATCCCAACATTGCTGAGCTTTATTTATTTATTTAGCTTCTTCTAATAAATACTAAATATGGAGTATTTTTTTTTTGATAAGTATTTAAATATGGAGTATTTGAACGTCACTGAATCCAAAATCACCAAGATTATGCACTATTGATTTGCATTCATGTTACCAACCTTATTATAATTCATTCTCATAAAGAGTATAATAACAAATTTTACTCCGAGGTAGTGAGAGAGGCATTGTGATTGCATTTTTGTAGTATCCTTTTTAATTCATGCTGCGTTTTGACTTCAATAAAATAGTGTATTGTCTTAACTGTGTGACTTGATTTATTGGTAATGTGCCAGGCTGAATCATTAACTGGCATTGGAAACCCAATACTGGCAGGACAGGAATTGCTTAGAAAAGGAGTGCGCACAAAATGGGTGATTGTCAAAATGGGTTCAAGGGGTTCAATTTTGATCACCATGTCAAGTATATCATGTGCCCCAGCATTCAAGGTATAAATTTATAGAGATGTTTGATGTGTTTCTGTATGAAAATCGGCACACTTTTCCTTCATAATGTTATTTGATGCTAAGACGCTAAAATATTCTATTTGAAAGTTCACCTTATTATGAACTCAAAAATCATATTGGGTTTATGGCATGTTAATGTTTCTCTAGTTTAAGAGAGAGAGAATGGCAAGCAAATCCTTTTTAGAATTTTCTCCGAAATTTTTTTGTATTTTCTTTAAATTAACTGTACACTCCCTGTAGTATTCTTTTGAGGTATATTACGATTTTCTGTTAAACAAATGCACATTCACACACTGGAGTTTCAGTATTTTATTGCACTTGGGACTCATATTGTATTTATCTCTCATTAGTACCGTGTGTCATTAATAAGTATTCTGAAATTTCAACAGGTGAATGTTGTTGACACCGTTGGGTGTGGAGATAGTTTTGTAGCCGCTATAGCATTTGGGTTCATAAGCAATATGCCCATGGTTTATACATTAACAATTGCAAATGCAGTGGGTGCTGCAACTGCCATGGGCTGTGGCGCTGGTAGAAACGTTGCAACCTTGAATCAAGTCATAGAACTCATGAGGGCAAAAAACCTCAATGAGGATGACAATTTTTGGAGTGAGCTACTTGATGAAAATTTGGATGCTCAGGAAGTTACATTCCTATCAAAAATGGTCATAAATGGAAGCAATAACCGGCTGCATCGTGTTGCCCTGCAAAAGGTGGTTTCTGAAATTCTTCCGGAGCTGGAATCCGCACAAGTAAAGGGTGTAGTGCCTTCTTGACGAGTATGATGACCTTTGACTACAATCTTTCGTTTTTTTTACTTGTTTTACAAGATTTGATTGCTCTTGAAAATGTACTTACCTTGAAATTGAGGCATGGGATTAAGATAGATGATGAAGGATGAATTAGTCTTTGGATGGAGTTGCATTGAGGTACTTCTTGGTGAAAGTGTAGATTCAAAGAAAGAATAATAAGCAAGATTTGTTTGTTCGCTGCTGAATTTTATTTTTTTGGTGAGTAGTGAAAAGTGATGTTTGTTGCCATAGCTTTAGAAGGTGGACTTGGGTAAGCAAGAGCACATCAGTTCACAATTAGGATTTTGGATTGTTCGAGCGGCCTTTTGGATGACTGCTTGAAGATATCCCATTTTTTACACCATTGAGAACATGTATGCTTCTCAAGCGAGGTTCCATGATTCCTGGGTGAAATATCATTGTAATGAGACTTGTAGCACAGTATTTTAAGATACAGATTTACTGGTATAGGGTTGAGTTGTTTGAATTTCAAGGAATATTGTCACGAGAGAACGGAAAAACTGTGGAAGAGTACCCATATTACGTTTTCAATTAGTGTTTCAGCAATGTGGTGCTTGTAAACTTGTAAATAAGTTTTTATGTGAACTGATATATGGATTATATTCTTGCATACATTATACATATTAGTAGTCTACTAGCTGAGCCACTTTCCAAAGTATTATTCTTTCAAGTAAAAAAGAACTTTTTGAGCAGAACATACTTGAAATGTGGGAGCAGAATACTATTTGAAAAGTTGTTTTGACTTTTAAGGGTTTTACATGTTAAATTGCACTCAGGTCTGGATTCCATTTTGCTTTTGCGATTTTATTGATTGCTGATAGAATTGTCTACTTTTGTTGGAAGAAACATCACTAGAACTTTATTCTACCAGCATTTCCAGACAATGTGGGGACCCGAAAAGTTTATATTGACTCCAAATATTTCAATAATGACTCATTCTCTGTTTGTTTTTCCTTTTATTATGTAGGTTTTTGAGCCCTGAATTATTTGGCTTTATTCTCAGGTTATATCCACATCTTTCATTTCAATGTTGGATGTGTATGGTGGAAATGCACCATGGGGATTGTGATGGTATCTACAATTTCTCTTGCTGGAAGTTGTATTTACAACTTCACTAACATTTTCACTTAAGGGTTCTTCCGAAACTTATTTTTTTTTTTTTTTTTTTACCTTGGCAAGAAGAAATTCAAGTATCCACTTTGCTCTTTTGTTAACTTGAGCTTTCGATTTTCTATTTTGGAAGGTTGAAGAAGTACTACCGCTAAGTTACAACTTTTGGTGTATAATGGTCTCAAGACCATTAGTTTTGTTCTTCGAACATTATGCGTAACAAAGTAAGCCTATTTGCTAGTTTTGTTCTTCGAACACTATGCGTGACAAAATAAGCATATTTGCATCGAAAGGTATATATCTTCCTTGTTAAAATGGTATTTGGTTATCCCATGATATTTGTAGTGTGTCTGAGGTTGGATCTGGCTTTAGAAATTTCTCCCTGAGCAGAAAATTTGAGCTTTTCATTTAATTTTTTAGGGATGGTTTCCCCCATGAATCATCTTGTTTCATTAGTCAAGAACTTGTGCTTTATTCAGGCAATTTTCTTTCCGTGGGGTCTTTTCACCCCTAGTTTTGGGTCAGTTTGACCGTCTCTTTCCTTTGTTTTACCTTTTCTTTTTAAAAACAAGAAAAGAAAAGAAATCTAGACAAGAAATTCATTCAGGCAAATGCCGTTTAAGGAACTTTCAACCTTTAACATTTTAGTTTACAAGGTGAGAAAGTACCACTGGGTGTTAATACTGAATCTTTAATAACATTCTACCTAAGTACCATAGACATAATCACGATACAACGCGGATACGATGATATCTTAAATTCTAAGAAGAAAAATGATTCTTAGGCCTAAAACTCTAACCGAGCAACCTTGCTAATGAGTTTCTATCCATTAAATGAAATGGATGAGTTTTGTCTTTTGATCTTATCTACTTCATCTAATATATATATATATATATATAACTCCTTCAACTAGGTTTCTATATTAGAGTTTTAAGGTCTAAGTAGCATGGTTTAGGACGCAGGTTTGGTGTGGGCACATTTATATATAAATATAAACTTTTACTTTTATACATATATCGGGTAATGGTAGTATTATAAAAAATTTAATTCACCATTTAGAAAATAAAATTTTATCATCATTGTAATGATTTTTATATAATAAAAATATATTTATTCCACTACTTTGTCATAATAGAGTTTTGTTTTAAATAAACAAATATAATTTTGATTCAGGAAAAAAAAAAAAAAAAATCCATTTATGATTCACCTGTGAATATAAATATATAATGCTAATTTTTTTTTTTTTTAAAGAAAAAAGTTGAAATACTTTAGAATGTGTTCATATTATTTTCAAGATTAGTATGTATACTTGTATTAAAAATGTAGAAAAGTGTAAATGTCCAACTAAGTAATAAGTGTCTAAAATAATTAAAATAAATTTTTATTTATGGATACGTATATGAAGTGTCAAAGGAATATTATGTAGATTTCTCTGTACAAAAATATGTAGGTATTTGTTAACTGTAATTTAATTAAAAATTCTACAAATATTATGTTATTAATTTTCCATAGTTGTTAGGAGAATTCAATTGCAGAGACAAAGAAAAGGAAGAAAGGACATGATAGACTATTATTATATTCAATATTGAATCTTATTTATGGTTTTGACCACAGGGTGAAAGTTCAATCTTTTCTTGTCTTAGCTTTATATAAAGCCTCACTTTACAGGTTTGAAAGATTACAAATTCACACCTATAGTAAAAATAAATATTTTTTTTTATTTGCTCATAACTCTGTGTGTGTTTTCTTAACGTTCCATTGTTTGGGCCAAAACATAAAAAGAAGAAAACTAACAATTTATATTACATATTAAAGTTAAGTGAATTGACCAAAATTGGAAGCAATTAAGGCCATGTAGTGACTTGAATTCCCACAGCTTTTTTTTTCCTTTTTCCTTTATATATGTTGAAACTTGTAAAAAGCTTGAATAGGCCAATCTGTGGTTAAGCTTGGGACATAAGCTTGGCATCACACTAGCATTTACATATGCCCTCCATTGATTAAGGTTCTCCACCTTCCACCTTCCCTTTACCCTAGTGGCAAGCAAAAGACATATCCTTTACTTGAGAATAAAACTCACTCACAATGTCAAGATCCTTACAACCAACTCACACCCTCAAATAAATATTTAGCTTTACTACTTACTTAATTCTCTGTTTGGCAAAGCAAATTAAATAAAATGACTTCATTTTTTATATATAAAAAAAAAATTCCCCGAAAGTTCTAGCAAATCAACACACGTCTCTGATCGACAAAGTTCGAATGATACCATCTGAGCTGATGCCCATAGATAAATGTTCACCTGATAATTTCAAGAAAAGAAAATCAAAATGCATTCAAAAGTACATGCCCTTGTTAAAGTTCTAGCAAACCAGCACACGTCTCTGATCGACAAAGTTCGAATGATACCAAATCTGAGCTGATACCAATAAATAAATGTCCACTTAAAAAAAGAAAATCAAAATGGCATTCAAAAGTACATGCCCTTGTTAAAGTCAGAGACAAAGATATATATCAATCAATTCCCTTGTTGACTAATAATAAAACTACACCCTTGAAGAGATTATTCAATTTGCAAAATAATTTTCCAATGCATGTTGTTGAAGGAAGAAGATATGTAGCCCTTTATGGAACCCTATTTGGGTTGACCTAACTATCATTACTTGCCTTTAAATGAAAAACCATTTTATTTTTGAATGAGAGGTCTTAGTTTGTCCACAAAGTAACAATTTGAATAGGGTTTTTGTACAAAAATTCTTGTGATTAAACTACATTCCTGTGTGTGAAATTGTGAAAAGCATGTAGGGGTGGTGTAGAAAGTGGACTCTTTGTCATGTGACCCCCAAAACGAATCTCCTTCTCATCTCTACGTATATATTTAAGGACCCCATGAAAAATAATGCATGGCCAAATCAAACTCTCTCCCCCTCTCTCTCTCTCTCTCTCTTGAATATGGTCTCTTTCTCTCTCATGAGTATTGTTGAGGGGAATGTCGTCTGGTTCGAAATCATTCACAAGAAGCTCAAACATCTTTTGAATGATTTCGGACCAGGCTTCATTCCCCTCAACTTAGAGGAACTAATTCAATTGCCATGCATCAGCTGAGAAACTGCAGCAACCATATATGGCCAACCATGGCAGCTTTGATATGAAATAGTCATTTCTTGTGGGCTCTTTATGAACTCGGATCGAATCGATCAGCTGAATCCTTTATAAACTCTAGTTTCTAATGCAAATCACAAGTGCATGTGGAGCAATTCAGGTCAGGAGGTGAGTGTGACTTAGTTTTTGATTTATTTAATTTTTTTTTTCCCTGATTAACATTTTATTTTCTTATAGTATAGCTTTAGTTTTTGATCACTTTTCTTGACTTATTTCCACCTAACATGTTGACAAACACTGGTTTAATGTGAACTTTTGATTAGTGACTAAATTTTGGTCATCACTTGCCTTTAGTTTAGGTTTGTTTATTTGTTGGGATTCGAGGAATTGGTTTTATTTTGTTTGTACACTTAGCTTAATTGTGTCGAACTACAAAGAATACAAGTTGGGAATACTTAAAAGCTTCAGTTTACACACACACATATATGGAGACTTTGAGTTTTGCCTCTTAGATCTCTCTTCCATAATGCCACTCTTATCTTTTTAGTTCATACCAGCCTACTATGTGGGTCAGATATTAACTTTTGTGGGTCAACTCTATATGACAATATTAACTATATCTGTGAGATTTACAATATCAAGTAGATCATACATACATACATATATATATATATATATATATATATATCTCTGCTAGAGGTTGTCATAAGTTGAGGAACTGTAACTCATGCCTGTTAATATAAATTGTGTCAGGAAATCAACCCCCAGTAAAGGGGGAAAGATTAAGCATTAATTTGTTAGGAAGGCAAAAAAAACCATATAAAATTGTATCAAAAATCTAAGGAGAACAATATATACATACAGATATATATATATATATATATATATATGTATATATATGTTATGTAGAAAGGTAGGTTGAAAAATATGGGATCAAGGTAAGTACTTCCTTCCTTGTGGGGTTTGAAAAGTTTGACAGGAACCAATACCAAATAATAGGCAATAGGTCTGCTTTTGTGTTGCCGACGTTGCCATAATTTTCTATGCCATCAATGTAGGCTTTTAACTTGGCTTCTTCTTCTTGGGATTATGCATATGAAAATTTCCTTGCCTCTTTCCCAACTTAATGTCCCCTAGTCCACAAGGACAAACAAAGCTAAAGCAAATAAATTAACTTGGTTTACGGGCTTAAACAAAAGAGGGTTAATTTAGTCCACGAGACTTCAGTTGTTACGGAGTGTGGGGGATCAGATACATTAAAGACTTAAATACCAATGAACGAATTCATTAAAGGGCAAGGGCACGCTAATCATTTATGAAAAATTGAAGAATTATTTTTATACAAAAAAATTTCTTATAGTTAGATAAGACTTTAGATGAGTAGACACGTGAAATGAA